TGCTGATAAATGATGGAGAGTGGCTTGGCCAGCTCCTCTGCCAGCTCCCTCAGTATCCTCGGGTGGATCCCGTCTGGCCCCATGGACTTGTGGGCATCCAGGTGGAGGAGCAGGTCAGTGACTGCCACCTCTTATTTTGACAATAATAAGAAGATTTTTACAACTCTAAGGTGCTCCTCCACTGACACAAAGGCAATATAAAGACATCGCTACTGTAATCAGGGCAGACAGTGCCCACAGAAGACCACAGGGGTTTGTTCGGGCCTTCACACCTCTAGGCACAACTCGGAGTCTTCAGATTCATTTTAGGCATGATCCAGCTCATTTCAAGAGGGCCTGCAAAACTGTTCGGGACTGATGGTAACAGATGAACGCAGTGGTAACTCACCTGTCGGCCGATCCCCCTGCTATTTTGCTCCCATCCGGGGACCAAGAGCACCTCAGAAGATTCTAAAATAAAAGAACATGCGCAGATCTATTTCCAAAGGAAGATTTAGTTTTCCCCTTCTACTTGAATTAAAATCACCACGAGACTTTAAATATCATGAGCACCACTGTAATGATCTCCCTTCGGAAAATGAGATGGTAATTACAGATTTTATTTTATTGCTGGAAACATCCAGTGCCTTGTTATTTTACACAAAGTAGATAGTAAATGTAGAAAATACTTAATTTATAGCTAATTATAGCTGAACCGAGCAAAGAAATCTTGTTACTGGAGCTTTAATTGGAATCCCACTTTGTACATTAATCTTTCTTTGAGTTCTTATTAAAGCCTTTCTGGTTTAAACTTGAATTTAAAAAACAATTTATAGAAAAGTTAATAGCAGCAGCATTTTACAAACAATCGTATTTTGGTCTGCGGTACACTCACCTTTTCAAAATTATGCACGTTCCCCTGGAAAATCTTTACACATCTCTCTTTAGGGGCAAACGGTCGCACGTCCCAGATGCGAACTGCAACAGAGCGTTCACAGTAATTAGCTGAAGATGGCAGAGACACGGGGGCAAGGTCAGCTTCTGGAAACGTTCCTTTTCCCAAGACATGCTGCTAACAAGCAAAGACCTGGTCATGCTCCTTGTTCTCCTCATGCCTAAGTTTCCCCAGAAGCAAAAGGAAACCAGCAGCTTTCCCCTGCAGAAAGCTTTGATATGAAAGGTCAAATGCAGACATTTATAATTACACCAAGACCACTGCCAACGGGAGGGGAAAAATCCAAAACAACTATTACACAAATGAGCCACCGTCTCCTTACACGAGCATTTGCTTTGCTCTAACACACTCCATGATCACACTTCTAATCAGATCAGCTTCGCTGAGCACCCCCACGCAGGAGACAAGCAGTTTGGAAACTGTGCTGTCATTCCCTGCTGCAGGGAAACAGCCAAACCGCCCCGACAAGAGCCAGACCGAGACCACGTTCAACTGTCCGCGCAGATAACGCGTGCCACAGCTCTTGTCCTTGCTGCCCTTCGGGAGACGCGACAAACCCTTCTGACGCAGCTGCTCCCTCCCTGCAAAGGACACGACTGTCACCGGTGTAACAACAGGAATTCGAGCTTTATCTCCGGAGCCAAACTCCCTTCAGCCCATCCCCACATCTGGCTCTTGTTTTTCTACGTCAGACAGTTTGAGCTGTTTTGTAATGCCATGCGAAGGTAGCGTCAGTGCCAACAGCTGTCTGCACAGCTGGGCTCTCACATCAGGTAGGACGTACCCGTGTTGTCCATTGCGTTGGAGAGCAGGTAGGAGCCTTCCGAACTCAGACTGAGGCCTGTCACCGAGTCCGCGTGTCCTCTCATCGTGTAAGTGAGCTTGTTCTGGCGAAGGTCCCACACCTTTCAGACACAACATGGCAGTTTATCAAACAGACAGCCAAGTGTTTGAC